GATCACCCCTCTATCCCCATCTTCAAGTTTTATGCCAAGAGTTATAGCTTGTTTGGGAGGGATTTTTGGGAGGATGAATTGGTTTTTGAACAGTGATATGATGAAAAATGTATGGTTGAAAAAGAAGAAAAAATATTGATGTGATGAAAAATATTATTTTATTGAAAAATGTGTGATTGAAAATGAGAATTGATTTACTGTAGAAAATGAAAATCTGTACCAAACACGCAATCCAAACTGCATTTCGTGGATTCTTAGTAAGTCTTTTTAGGGGTTTTCCATTTCTCTGTTTTGTTTTTCGGTTGCTGATAGAAGTCGCTACTTAAATTTTTGATTGTTAGTGCATGTTTTATACACATTATTGGATAGATTGTATAATAAACAAGATTTTTAGTTCGTTTTTCGTCTTTAATATCAAATGTGGCATTAATGTTTTTTTCTGGGCGACAGTGTTTGCTTGATTTCACATCTTGACACAAAATTAAAGGAAGAGAATGACTTTAGAAGGCAAATGTTTTATAGTTTGTCTGATTGTAAATGGTAAAATTTATGGTATTAGCCAATTAACAAAAAAGAATTGGGAGAAGGATCTTGTGAACTGAAATGTCATGGGAGGCGACAATATGATATTACTCAAAATGGTGAAAGGAGGCGGGAAGGGGACTGAGGTGGACGAAAGGGCAAGGAAGGAAAAGAAGAAGAGTATATTAGGATTTTGACAAAAACTGAGACTGCTTTTGTAAATCTTATGAAATGTCTTTTTTCGTGTTCTTTCTACAACTTGGTTTTCCTTGGACAATTTCCTCGACCGCTTGGCCTTTGTAGCCCAAATATTTCACAAGAGGTGATTCAAATGATGGTTCTTTCTTTTCATTGCACAAGCCTTTGTGCTTCAATTTATGGTGCCTGAAGCTTCACAGGATATGTCAAATTAGAAAACCTACTTGTTAACTATTTAAATTCACTTGCTTAACAATTGTATTTCATATGCATGTATTTGTTCTGCGATTAAGGTGTTAATCTTGACCTGAATAATTAGTTCCTCATTTTGTTGCTGAATAATGATATTAGGCAAGAAGAGCTTCAAGGGCTTTGAAAGGATTGGTGAGACTTCAAGCTCTATAGTTCGAGGCCAGCAGGTCCGGAAGCAGGCTGCCATTACTCTTAGGTGCATGCAAGCTTTGGTTCGGGTACAGGCTCGGGTGAGAGCTCGTCGTGTACGTATGTCTATAGAGGGACAGGCTGTGCAACAGATGCTTGATGAATGCCACAGCAAGGCTGATCGCTTGAAACGAGCTGAGGTAGTATGTCTTGGCTCTTAAGAGAACTGTTTCCTATGAAGCGTAGACACTCCTACTGAGGTGGCATCGGCATGTTGGACACGGGTACTCTTTGAACACTCCAGGACACATGTCCAACATGACACGTTCTGTGTCCTACTTTTTTTAAAATAAAGATACGATATGCATATGTCTATCTTTAAAAAATTATAAATCCATATCCTACTTTTTTATAATCTTGTGTTGGAATGTGCTCATCGTAGTGTGTCCACATCCACCGCAACAGTCTTTATGTCATAATTTTGACAAATTTCACATTAACCAAGGACACACTTCATTCTCGTTTGATTTTTCAGGAGGGGTGGTGCGACAGTAGAGGAACACTGGAAGAGGTTAATACAAAGATACAGATGAGGCAAGCAGGAGCTGCTAAGAGAGAGAAGGCATTTGCATATTCTCTTGCTCAAAAGGTAAGGTTTGAGAAGGCAAAAGTATAGTATTAAAAATGAAGACGACATCAAAATCTTGTTTATTACACTGTCTGATTGTGTGTAGTTACTCAGAACTGTGTATTACCTCTCAGTTTCAATAAATATGATTATTCTCTTCATTGTTCTTGCTGTGGAAGTCGAGTCAAACTATACATTCCCATACAAATGCTTCTATTCCCTCTCCTAAAAGTTACGATTTTAATAAGAACGGCTGGGGATGGAGTTGGCTAGAACGTTGGATGGCGCTAAAGCCTTGGGAAAACAGATTGATGGAACAATCTCAGACTGACCATTTGGAAACAACTCCTCTATCTAAGACCTGCGTAGATTCTACCAAGGGCAGTCTCTCGAGGTTATCTGAACATAGTTCAGTGAAAGTCAGAAAGAACAATGTCACAATGCGAATATCAGTAAAGCCTCCCCAAGTTGGACAAACTACTCACTCATCTTCAAGCCCGAGTTCTGTTTTCAGATATGATGAAAGTTCGGCTTCATCTTCAATTTTCACATCTACAACTCCAGTTTCTGGAAACACCATGTTTGCATCAGATAGAACAGAAGAGAGCAATAATGTAAGGCCAAGTTATATGAACATGACAGAAGCTACCAAGGCCAAGCAGAGAAATCCTAGAATTCAAAGACAGTCCATGGATGAGTTTCAGTTTCTCAAGAATTCGATAGTTGTCTCAAATGGGGATCCAAAAAGCAATGCCGGTTCTGATAATTCTCAAGAAAATTGAGGGATAGTGAGATTTGTTCATTTCTGTAAGATGGGTAATATTTATTGCGAGTCTTCAACAGCTTCTTGTTTACATGTGAAAACTGTAAACAAATAGTTTTAACGAGGTTCTTGAGATATGATTTTTGAATTCTGCATTATGTAAAAACTTCATGATTTTGGAACCAATTAAATGCTTTTGAGCTTCTATTTATCCAGGTTCTTGCAAATATTTAACAAGAACAGATTGTTATCAAGTGAAAAACTGTAACCAAATAGTACTGAATACTTTTGAAAAGTATATAGAGACGTACTTTTCAAAAAAGTTAATTTTAATTACCTTTTAAGCTTAGCCAAATATGCTGTCAGCTCAAAATGCTCTCGAAGTACAGTAGAATTGTAAAAATTTAGCTACCATTTGTATCATTCGCACAAGAACATGAATTCGTACATTTATCTTTCATGGCTTACACGAACGTTTGATGGCTTGAACCTTTACACCGTGTTTGAAGTTAAGAACTATGCCATATTCGAGTTGCAAAGGAGTTTTCGTCTGTGGAGAATGTCGGAATACATACTTTCTGTATAGATGAATGAGTGAAAGTTTAATTTCTTGCAAGGAGAATTTTTGTCCAATGCATGCACGAGGCCCTATTCCAAACGGAATATTAGCGTAAGGATGTCTTCGTTTTTCCTCTTCACAATTGGGATCAAACCTCTCTGGTTTGAACTTCTCCGGTTCGGGGAAGTTCTTAGGATCTTTAGCTAGGACTCCAAGGGCCAACCACACCCATGTGCCCTGCTCATTCAAATATAATTATTTTTATTAGATTCCCTGTCCAAAATAAAGAAGAAAAATTATATAAAATTTAACATTATATCACCTTTGGGAGGTTGTAGCCTCCAATATTTACTTGAGTCAATGTTTCCCTCGCAACTAATGGAGAAACTGTGTAGAATCTCATTGCTTCTTTTATCACCTGCACTCAAAAATTACGAATGCAATGAGAATTCGTCAATTTTCAAGATGACTGCAGTTTCAAGTAATATCCATCACAAAATTCACCATCAAATCAAAATTGTTATATCCTCTCATTTTAACTAGGTTGGCGCAGTTTCAAGTGATGAATTGTGTTGAACTGAGGACTACCTGATTAAGATATGGAAACTTGGATTGAAGATCAGGGGGCGTAGGCATTTGATCATGGGGACCGAAAGTATCAATCTCTTCAAGCAACTTCTTCTCAACTTCGGGATGCCCCGCAACAAGATAAATTATAGTAGACAACGTAAACGAAGTTGTTGCTGATCCAGCCAACAAGTGCTCGTATGTTACTGCACTAACATAATCCGATGTGAAGATGTTCTTGGAAAGTGTATTCGACTCTCTGGCACTCAGTATAAGTGACAGAAAATCCTTTGAGCCACGATCCTTTTCTTTCATTTTCTTCTCGACTATCCCATCGAGCCGGCTACTCAAGTTTTTGTTTGTTCTATCTACTTTCCAGTCCGTAGTGCCTGGTATTCTCCTAAGAATCTGGCGAAATGGCTCTTGAATGATAGGAACGAGCAGGCCTAATATGATCGAAAAGGAGCCTGATAAGTCCATCTTAAGTTGAGTTGTGGAGTAAATGTGTTGGTTGATGAATTGTTGGACTTCATTGTCATCATGTTGATTGTTCATTTTGTTAACAGAATTTGACAGGCCAAAATTCACTCCAAAAGCAGCTTGTCCAATTACATCTGTGGCTAATTTGAGGGATAGATCAGAAAAAGTGAAATCTGGTTTATCGTCTAGATTGTCGGTTGCTGACTCAATGACTTCTTGCATCGTCGGCACCAACTTTGCAAGGTGAGATGGCTGGTAGACGGATAAAATCGTGTTTCGCATGGTTGACCATCTCGAATCCCTGCAAAAGTTATCGATTAAATCTTCACCTCTAACTTTGAGTGGAAAACAAACAAACAAACAAAATCAGAAACGCGCAAAAGAATGCACAGATATATAGTAGATCACCATCAACATGAGAGTTACGTCCATTTGCCGCCATAGGTTCTTGTTACATACATTTCTTTCTTATCCACCAAGTCCCACACAAAAGGTTGACATACATCTTTTTCATATGTAGGCATCAAATTTATACAAGACTCATGATGAACTTGTTTTCGTTGGCATTCACTGTACACGATTGACAAAAGACGGTGTACTAAGATCATTCGCTCGACAATACCTGGTGAAGAATAGGCCTTTTTGATGAAGAGGGGACGCTGCGATGGGAGAAGGAATGCTTCTATTGGGAATGTCTTTGAATTTTTTGATACCAACTTCTCTGCAAAGCTCTGGATCTGCTACAATCACTAGTGGTTGTCTTCCCATGTGAAATCTGTTTTAAAGAACAATATCAGTCAAGTTTCAGTATAATTAGCAGTCTAGTTGATGGCACATAACATTGTTTGGAAATAAATCCTGTCACACATAAATCTAATTTAATTAGCAACCTAGTTTCAGAACTGGTGAGCAGAATTTAGTAGTAACAAAGCTAACTGACATTGTATATTCTCTTGTTAAAACATAATCGATGAACCCCTAACCACGATTCGTCGACTTATTCTTCAAGAATCAATCGGTACGAACCTCCCTCAGGTCCACGAAATTAAGATTTTTATCGACAAAGGCATGTTACTGCATCAGTTAAAGAGTGGACGCAATTTGTTTCTTCAAAGTATATATTTGAGCTCTGTCAAGGGTCCACTTTGAAACATATATTTTCTAATGGATTGGACTAGCACAAGTCCACAGCAGTGACAACACAACCTTAGCCAGAAATCAAACGAATTTTATGCCCATATTCTTCAATTTGAACAAGTTATTTTATGGTAAACTTTTCTAAAGAGTTCTTTACTTTCTTGTAAAGTTTATTCATTTAAAAGACGTTTTTTTGCACGATAATATAAATTTTGAAATTAAAAAAAGACATTCGCACCCCTAACTCAAGACCCTCGAGTTGATTCGTCAAGAAGCCTTATTTCTCTTTCTCTCCACCAATAACCTCTTATATTTCCCAGCACCTGCAACTTCTGTTTCATTAACCAACATTTTTGATCCTCTTATAGATGGACCCACCCCACCCAAAAAGAATTTTTTTAAGCATGATTGTCCAAGCCTAAAAGAGATAACTTCTAAAAGGGAAGGCAAACATTTTTGAAAAAAAAAAAGTTACTTATAAATAAGCTTAGACATTAGTTAAGTAATTTCACTTATATCTTAGAATTAGCCAAACATGCTGAAGCGCAAAGAACAAACCTGAAAATAGGACCATATCTCTTAGCAAGAATGGAGAATACATCAGGGCCATATTTTGCAAGCAAGGGCAAGTGTCCTAGGAAGGGAATTGCTGGAGGACCAGGCACTTTTCTTACTCCCCAGTAAGGTCCATAAAAGTACCCCAGAACTCCAGCCAATAAGGCCAGTACAGTGCATGTCACTGATATCATAGATGCCTTTATTAAGGGCAGTAGTATCTCTGCAAACTGCTGAAAAATTGCAGCTAAAAACTCCATTGTAGAGAGGAAGAGAAGAGAACACAGTTGTGGTAGTGTTTTCCAGTGTGTAAATTCTTGAAAGTTGGAATATAAAAGGAGTTTCTTAAGTGTTTTTAATGTGCGTTGTTGGGCTATGTCGTTGTTGAATGATTATGATATGAAAATGGTGGGTTCCTCCACCCCCACGAATCTTAATATTATAGTTATAATTGACGGTAATCGCAAGAATGTGACGTTTGCACGTATAATCCATGATTTCAAGATTATTAATTCAATCAAAATGGAGGGTTTGAAAAGTGTATTAGACTTAAAATCCGTCACATCTGATATGAGTGCTTGAGAAAATATGCTTATTGCACCCAAAAAATAATCAACATGAGAGCTAAAGAGTAAAAGAGCAAGATCTATTTTTCATGTGTACTTGTCATACTTCTCGTCATCATGCAACGTGTAATATGTTGTTGGCTCAAGGTCATCTACCTCGTCAAAGTTCATCAAAAGTTGGTCTGTGACCCCGACTCTAGTAAATCTAATCCCTCATTAGTTAATATCGTCGTATATATCCAAAGCATCATAGCCTTCATAGGATAACGAAGGTCTCGAGATGTAGGAACAAAGCTATCAGCTCCTGCCCTAAGTGCAGATGTGGACCCAGTGTGAAAAGGTGGGGGAGCAATTATTGCTACACAAATTTCTATCCATGCTGCTCAAATCTTCACAAATACAGTAACTAGCCACCGTCTGAAAGAGGCTAGTTACCTCGAGCAAATCTGCTCATTTGGTTCAATCCACTTTGTTAAAAGGTTGGATAAGTTAATTACTTCAAAATAAAAAAATAAAAAGTTACTTTTTAAGTTATCTGAACATAAACACACTCTAAGATCAAAGATATTCGCACAACCCCCTTAGCTGATCCTTGTCTGGATGTGGTTATTTCACCTAGATGCTAGAATCAAGCAAAGGCATCTATCAGAGGTAAACTTTTGCAGATTTTTTCGACTTAGAGAATTGATTTGGGTAGGAAAATCTAATCAACATTAATTTATGACAATATTAATGTTTGGCATGACAACGATATTGATTTAGATTCCTGTTGCCCGTTTTGTCTTTGTCCTGATATCTTATTATTGTATAATATGCCACTTTCTATCATGTGAATTGGGATTACAATATTCTTCAATAGCTTTCGTTGACATTGTAGTTGATGTTTAGATAAATTTTTCCTTGTATTTTTGTCATTTTGTTATTGGACTAAATAAACTGTAAGTTATGTTTAGTAATAAATAAGATTAACTTGTCCTTGTAGTTACTTAATATCTAGTCTACTGTACTAAACAAGCTAACAAATGCAAATCGAGCACAAGTCAACTTTCAGTGGCAATGGATACTCCATTTGTGTAAATTGGCTTTATTGCGGATTGAACTACCCTAAGTTGTGCCCTTGCACCCAACTTTCCACTAAAAAGTAGAAACCATATACCTTCCCACCAAACTACATAGAACTTATATAAGCCAGGCCCCTACCTGAAGAAAGAGATGAGGAGGGTGCAAGAGGGTATCCACCTTCGTGTCATTTCATTTTATGACCCTATTTGGTGATGATTATAATCAGATTTTTAATATATTTTGATAAACGTTGAAGAAATGTGTGATTGAAAAATTATGGATCCCTTCAGGGCCGGCCCGGCCTAAGGCAACTAAGGCCACTGCTTTGGGCCTCAAATTTTTAGGGGCCCCTAAGCAAAAAAAAAAAAAAGAGGAAATTATGCCATACACCTACTTTTCAATAAATATTTTCGATTTACTATTCAACTTTTTATTAACCTTAAGTAAAAATGGAATGTGAAAAAATATCCAAATGTTTTAACTTTTCATTACTCAGCCAAGATTTCTCCAACAAACACGTCATTAAACTCGTGTACAACTTTCACACCCAAATTAAACTCAATTAAACAACAAAATCCCTAAATTATCGTCCTTCACATTCCACGTCCAAAATCCCCAAAACTTCGTCTCTCCCAAATCGCCCAACAAAAATTTCTCCATGCCAAATTCATATTTCGATCTTCTACGGCTTTCACGCAGAGGATATTTCACACCATATTATGGAATCAACCAGTTGATTCTTCAGTTTTTCGTTGATTCGGTATATGTGAAGCGTATAAAACCCTAGCCCGACGCCTAATTTACCATCCTGCTTTCGATTATACCATCAGTCGAGATTTTGTGAATCTTCCACCATGGCGGCTGGAAAAAATGCATCTTCACTAGGCTCCGTATGGGTACGTCCAATCGCTGTTGTGCCGACACCCCGATTGTCAATGGGTTCCATCAAGGCCCAACAACTAGGCGCTTCTTCTAAGTTCTGTAAGACCGTCGTACCAAAAAATGAACTCGTAAACACCCCTCCTCGTCGCATTACCCGTTCGACTAATATATCTTCACAATCAAAAGATTATGTCAGCCGTCCATCAGGTGAAAGAGTCGTGGACACCAGTTTTGAAGGTACATGGATGAAAAACAAATTGAAGGGCAAGAGCAAGAAGCCAATAGAAGATGAAGTTCCAGATTTAACAACCAAAAAGCAAAAGTCAATGCTTTTTCAACACAAACCACATGTACTTATTTTTGGACGATTGAAAACTAATTGGTTCAATTAGTTCTTTTTTCTTTTTACACACAATGCAAAAATATTTGAAGT